AACGTCGATTACAAAAATATTGTTATATTATATAAATAGTAATTCGCAGGCAGATCCACCGGGAGAGGGGCGGAGGAGGAGGCTTTTGTGCTGAAGTCCCCCCTCCCCCCAAAAATGGTAAAATATATTCATTTCTTATGAAAAAAAAATTACCTCTAAAAGTATTATCGTTCGTGTAATTATATTTAATAGTACATAAAGAATCATTTAAACTCTATTTCACATAGGTGATTAAATTCTTTCCTTCCTGAGTAAATATGCTTATACATTTTTCTGAAATTTTGCTGAAGCCCTACAAAACTAAGTTCAGTGTGAGTAGTTTTGTTTTTAAAGACCTTCGTGATTTTCCCGGATTAATCAGTTGTGAGTTTAGGTAGTTTGTTTCTATTGCAAATAAGGTTATTGATATATTAATTTAATTTATTTTTATTATATTAATTTAAATATGAGGGTTCGGATTGCTTTACCGAATTTTTCCTATTAACTAGGAAGCAATATCTTCGTTTATTTTCTTCAATGATATATGTACATTATATTGATACATATATATGTGTATATAGTGTAGACGTAAGATCTTTGAATATCGGCAAAACTATTTTTGGGACAAGAAGCAAAATCCACAGAAAAAAAGAGTTAAACATTGTTTTATTATTTTCTCTTATTTTTTTATATACTTTGGATCACGCAACAATTTTATTTCTTCTTTGTTTTGAAGTTTTCTCTTCCTCCAGTAGGTACTCCTTCATGAAGACGCAACTTCCGTTTAGGATATTCCAGTTATCGCATTTATCGATCTGATATCATCCAAACATCAGAATCTCTGTATCGGATGTTGGACCTTTCTAGATCTTTACGAACTTCTTTCTCCATGTCGTCGTTGTCTTATTGTTCCATAGTCTGTCGGATACTTTTTGGATAATCTGATTTGTCAATTCTATGCAAATGAGCGAGAGTCCACGACAGTTTCTCAATACATTTTTGTAAATTGCATAGTTATTACGAAGTTTCCGGGCGGTTTCAACCTGGATTGAGCCCATGATTTTCAGTAGTACCTTGAAGTAATATTTTCATTTTATATTGATTATTTTTTTTAAAAGATTAAAATTAATAAAGGACATTTCTATTTAGATTTTAATAAGTAGTATATTATATATGTACATAATCAAATCTATGTTGTGTGACAGTGGCATGTTTACTGAGAAATAACAGAAAAATAAGAGTGATTTGAAAGTTCGTTTTACCATCCTCTGACACCTGAGTCTGAGCGGAGATGCGACTCCATATCTGGCTGGTTCATCAGGAGCCAGCGAGTTGTCCTTCCTGCCGCCAGCTGGAGGAGACACCAGTTCCCCTCCCGTTCCTCCGGTAGGTGTGTCTTTCACCAGCTAAATTACCGTGGTTAAAAGCCCCTCATGTTATCTCCAGATCTGACCCTCTTTAGATACGCTATCGGGCTATATCTACCCTGGTACTGCGGTATTCGGGACCACCTTCCCTTCAAGGCGGCTTCTTTAAGCGCTAGATTTATTGGTAAAAGTATACTTTCTGTCAGAAGGAACATTGGATTTCGATCAACATGGATTAGACAAAAATAATATTACTCATATCAAATAAGACAGCAGTTTTCATTCTAACCTGAAGTAGCTATGATGTTATTGGGTGATATGCAGAGGTGCCTAAAAAGGGGTTTTCATGCATGTGGTTTTATGGCGCATGGGTTTTATCAAATTTTTTGAGGGGGCATATTTCGACGGGTTTTTGAATTTTTGAGGGAGCATATATCGACAGGGTTATGAATTAGTCAGAATGAAAAAAATCAAACTATGTGACAAGGGAAAAACATGGAACAAGTGCAATGGTATATGATCTGCGATTTTTTCTAATTCAACCTTCGCTTGATCTCTTCTTAAGAAAAGGTGATAAATAAAATATCTTGAGAGGGAAGGGTAGGTTTTTGCGCCCTCGACCATGGGGAAGATGTGCACCCTTGGTGTTATCTGAATAATTTCAGCAGCTTCTACACCTCCAATCAAATAAACTAAGAGAATTGAGACGATGTCCAAAATATAAAACGAATTACCTATGACTAGGTTTCAACAAATCGCTCATCGTAAGTTATTTAAAAGATAAGAGACTGGTTTAGATTCAAACATACGATTTAAATGTAAAAAATAAATAAAACAATCGATCCATAACATCCTATTAAGATAATGAGGTAAAGATAATATGATAATGAGGTATTGAGTTTCATCAGAAAACTATCCAACCATCTTGCCCTACAGTATTATTTGATCCTACGGCAACTTTTGACCATCTTATAGATTACACGTTCAGTGAAATTAAACGTTCCCGATATTAAATAAAGTTAATTATCTATAAATCCGTAAAGTATCATAATACTCCTCTTATTCCTTCCAACGTCGATCATCGCCAACGTACATTTCTGCATAATCTAGATCTATCATGATGCATATATTTTTTCGGCCTTGTTATCGGAAGTTTCTCTGTCGTTTCATCCCTGAATTTTTATTAGTGATTGTGTTTCACGCAAGATACATTATTAAAATTCAATTTTCTAGTCGATCTATCTTTCAAAAGCCTCAAAACATCGTCTCCTCCTTTTACGTAAGTTTCCATTCTTAATTTAAATAATATATATTAATGTGATATAAAACTGTTATAGTCAAGTAAATTCTTACTTTCGGGCTTCATGTCTAATCTCGGTTTTCCCATATGATGTCTTAAATTTCGTTTTATTAAAGTATTTAACCCCCTAGATAATAAAATCGAAATTATTGCATTTTCCAACTAATTTATATTTTTATACCAGATTGAAATATTATTGAAAATAAATATTATTTTGCTCAATTTAGCACATTCCGCATACTAAAAATATGAAAATAAAAACCATAGTTCTTGAGTACAAGTACTATACGTTCTATACATTAAATAAAAATATTAAACTAAAAGTTCAATAGCATAGAGAGAATATGTCTTATATATCTATATTAATAAAAACGTTCGTTTCATCAAAATCTCCGAAACTGCTTCACCGATTATTTTTAAATACCGAAATAATGTTTCTTTCGCATTCAGGAGTGTTTTTATATACATTTAATCACCCTTCGGTCTTTCGTTTCGGAAAGGCGACCGAAAAAACTATGTCACTATAGACTATAGCGCCTAAACCGCTGTAACGACTTTAATTAAACTTGGATAAAGTCTTCTCCTTGAAACCCTTTTAATTTATGTAAATAACATCTTTCTCCGAAAACAGTGAAAAAAAGTTACGATGGGTTCAAAACTATACTTGCGAACAACTCAAAAAGTAAACAATTTTTACGTATTTATACAAATACTTACGAAAGTATACAATTTGACGCATTTAAGTGCTAAAATAAATAAAGCTAGGGAAAGGGACATATCCCGTTTTAGACCTGAACGAACCTCAAACTTATCGGTATCGAAGTTACCGATTAATAAATACAAGAATTTAATGTTTTTAAACACTAACATCCGAAAACATACGATGTCTTTAGCAGAGCTTGAATTGGAAACATTTTACTTGCAATTGTTTCTATTTATTTCGTTACTGCAATTTTTCCCATGGAACATTTAAATCAAAGGTTTTCTAAAAAGTTTATTTAAAAGAGAAAAACGTTTGAATCCACATTGATTGCTATTTCCTTGGCGTGGTCCATGAATCAGCCACTTAATATTAGCATGGATTCGTTCTTAACTCTTCTTAAAAATAGTGCAAGCGAAAATAGAATTAGAAAAATTTTAGATTATATAAAATTAGACTTCCTACAGGCTCTATTCCATGCGCTTTTGGTTTGAATATTTTCATTTCAAAAATTCATAAAACCTGTCGAAATGTGACCTCAAAAATTCAAAACCCCGTCAAAATGTGTTCCCCTTTAAAATTTTTGATGACGCCATGAAACTTCCTTCTGAGCACTTCTGGGCAATATCAGTATAGATTCTTTCAATTCTCCAGGCATTTATATATGGTTCAACATCATAGGCGCAAACTAGGAAGAGGCGAGAGAGACCATCGCATCTCTCCCCCCTCCTCCCGAATTTGAAGTAAAAAAAAATTAAAATTTATAACAAATAAGCTAGATGAATGAATGAAATATTTAAACTAAAATCGATTTATAAAATAAGAAAAGTCGAGTAGTCTAATACTTTTAAGGCCTATATAAATAATAAATAAAACGTCATTATTTTATCAAGACCTAATTATTCCTATTATCTAAATTTTCATTTATATTCAGGGTTAATAATATAGAAACATTTTACGATTCATTCACTTCTGATGCGGACACCTCAATTTTAACATAATTTTCTTTTAATTTTTCTGCGATAAAGTTGGAAAAAGTATTTTTAATTAATACAAGTATAAATATATTTTGCAGAGAATATTTTTATAGACATTTTTACATAACTGCTTAGACTCTGAAAACATTTCTTTTATAAGGTTGTTAAAAACTTAGAAATCAATAATATTTTTCTAAGAAAGAGTTGATCGGAGGCGTGCTGTCAAATAAATACTAAATTATAGAAATAGTATTATTTAATTATAATGCCGACGTTTCGACCCACCTTGCAGGTCTTTATCAGGGCGTGGGATTTGGCAATGCGGAAGGCAGTTGAAAATAATAATATAATAAAATATATAAAAATAGTAATAATAATATATAAAAATAATATTTTTTATTTTTTTTTGACATTATTTATTTTTAGCTGGTACAGTTCTAGAAATGTACATATTTTATTAAGGCTTTCTCCCGTTCGATTCAAAGTAATTATGTATATTCGTTTTTTTTTTTTTTTTTTTTTTTTTCACATCGGCTCCAATGAAATTGAAAAATTTGCGGCTGTTCACCATCAATTGAATGAATTGAGATTATTTTTCAAATTGATGTGTTTTTTTTTTTTTTTCAATCTTGATTATTTATTATTGAAGACAACGGCTAATGTGTTGATGACTGCAGACTGTTCCAGATGACCGCGGTGGTGGAGAGCTCGCATCCCAACCTGGTCGGGGCCTCGCTGCAGCTGAAGAACGCCCCGCTCTGGAAGCAGTTCAACGAGCACACGACCGAAATGATCATCACCAAGTCTGGAAGGTATGTCGGAACATTTTTTTACCGCTCCGGAGGTACAGCTGCTCCCGACGCGATATATCTATTTATCTGCTATATTTTTATGTATTTTGAAAGGGCGGCCTTTTTTTCTCCTTCCCCGTTGCTGGAGAGCGATGGACAGACAGAGATAGCAATAGACGGCGCCCCCAGATTTATGGGCGGGCTGTCTTCACGGTTGTTCGGGGTGAGGAGGCTAGGAGTCGCCCATCCCTAGCCAGCGCCTGTCTATTTTCATTAAGGACCTATCTGATCTACTATCCGCTCTGTAACTGATAGTTCTACTCCAGCCTCCGCCTTAATTAATTGTTGATGATTTTTGTTGTTGAGGGGGTCCGTCGGTGTCGAAATACCTGGTACATCTGGCTCTATTCCCTCCATAATAGACAAGCTTCCTTAATAACAACAACAATTTTATTCACTAACGATTTTGATTAAACTCTTTGTATCTACGTACGATTAAATGTCCTTTGATATCATCCTAGTTCTTATCCTTATCGATATAATCTGATTCGTATTGCCCAAAATTGCATTTTGCAAGACCAAGATCGCCTAACTTGTAGCAAGACCAAGACTGGATAAAAGTTAGCGTTTTTATTTTATTTATAAATATAATTTCACACTTTATTTTTTAACCAACAGGCTCTTTCACCAAAGAAATAAACAATGAATAAATGCATTTTTTCAATAGTTCATTTTTTTAAATTAAAATTTTCAACCACACTTGTCAGAAGTGTCCCACAAACAATCAGTAAGTCTGCTGTCGGGAAGAATACTAGTAGTAGCATTAATCGGCATGAAGGAGAGGAGTGCCCAGCGGATTCCCTTCATATCTTGATTTTAGTACACTTTTTAAGCGAGGAAATCCTTCATCCAGCTTCTTTTGAGACTTCTAAGCGTGTTTTCGAGCATCTGAATTGTTACCATATATTGTATGAGTGTCGGTATGTGAAGGTTTTCATGCAAAGTAATATTCGTGGCATACCATGCAGCTTATGTTATAGTCCTAAATGTTTTTGACTGAAAAGTTTATAGTTTTGGTATGTTGGTCGTTTTGGCTTTGTTAAAAAAATTATATTGTTTAAACAGTGAATACTAATAGATTATTGGCTATTTTTCTTCGGAAATAATAGCCTATATGCACTATATCGAAATCGTCATTGAAAACGGGGTTGGAGTTTCTTTCCGTTTCGGAACTCCTAGAACACGATTCTGCAATTTTTAGAGATGCCAGTTTTATATATCCGAATAAGCTGAAATTCGGTATATAGATTAGGTTCCCAAGTGGAACGATACTATATATTAAACTTTGGAAAAAGTTCGTCAAAATTTCCGTATGTAAGAACTTTTTTTTTATATGCAGGTAGTTAAGGTTAATATTTAACAATTGTTTATTAAAAATAATCAAGTATTTATGAACAGGGGTTAAAATAATTATTTTACCTTAGCTATGATTTAAATATATATATATATATAAATGGTATACTTTTCTTTTCATTTTATCTTAGTTTCTTTTGTCAACTTAAATTGGTCTCCTATTTTCACCAAATTCCTTCATAACACTGTCGCAGTGTGAGTGTGAACTAGTTTTTCATGCTCCAAGTCACGTGTAAAATGTATTACACTATGCCATGCTAGTGTTGTTATTATGTGCGGATCGATAAGATTTTTAGCGTGGATAAGAACATAATTACACGGTATGTTAAACGGCGACCATTAACATGGGAGAGCTGAGCCAGTCCCCCAGTGGCAGTGTTTTGCCTAGGGTGGGCATAGTTTTTACCCCCTAGGATAGATTTCCTCATGAATATTAATTATGTTATTATTGTTCCCCGGCTAGGCAGCTGCCTGGCGGGGGGTATCTATCGGTGTCCCAGTTCGGTTTGATGGCCGTATCTTATATCTGGCGCCGGCAGTAAACCAACTGAAATATTATTAACAGCTATCTCGTAATTCTTCGTTCGTCCCAACTCACCTAGGAGCCTCCGATCGTCGTAAAACGCTTTTTAATATCCCAGAGGCAAGGTCGGAGGCAACCTTGAGGAGGTGATGAAGAATCTTCGGTTTGTTTTCGTTACGTATCGTCTAGAATGTTATCGACACTGTAGCTTAACTCTTCTCTCATTTACGCGTGAACCCTAATTAACATTAATTTAAATTTAATTATTAAGAGAAAATCTTCTTTTTACGAAATACAAACCAACAAAATAATAAATAGTGTAGACATTTTTTAAGTGTATTGGAACTATTTTGATTTTGCTTCCTCACTACCAAAGGTAGGGAATTCTCGTATTCGTACAGGAGGTTAAAGAAAAATCAGCTATAATTTTTAAAGGTACTTTAAGGATCAGATGACCAACTAAAAAATATTTTAACATTCTTAGAAAAATTAAAAGGAATTTTATAAAATGAATTTGTATTGGATAATCTACCCATCCTTGTATTACAGAATAGACCAGTTTACAGCCAATTAACCATAGAGATTATATTGATATCATTGTAAAATAGTTGTTCCATGTAGTCTTAATTTTCATAAAATTATTTAGTCAACGTTTCGGAATGTTTTTCTATTTTTTCTCCAAGGTTTCTTTTTAAGATTCAAACTAGGCAACAAAATTAATGAATGGGCTACTCTATTACTATTATTAGTACTCTTTAATCTGATAATAATTGATATAGAAATGATTTAAAAAAAAAAATTAAAAATCACATTAAAAATATGACATACACATTCATGTAATTTAAAACAACAAAACTATTTTCTAGAAACATTCATATTTCACGACATATTGGTTGTAAATTATTTCTATACGACATAAAATCCATTATATATATTTTGTCGTAATAACAAAAAGTTATCATTACTCAAATCTAAAATGTTATAAGGATTTTAATGTAACGTTCTGTCAATATAGTTAATATTTAAAATAAGAAAATGGTTAATTCACGCCTCATTTAGTTTATATAATTTTATCAATAAAATAAAAGCAAAATAATAAGTAATTTTTTTTTCACACGATATGTAAGTACATACAAAAGGGAAATAAATATAGATAATTAAAAATTAAAAATAAATAAAAAAATAGGAAAATAACGTTAATAAGATAAAGAGAATTAATATACATATATACAAGATAAATATAATAATAGATTAAAGCTGAATGATATTGAAATAAATAAAACACATCATAAATAATAACATTGAAAACAAAAAATATACCCAACAAATAAAAATATAATAAATCGAAACAGAAGCAAAGTAAAATTACACCTTTAACAATGGCATACTTAGTGTTTTAGAAACTTTATTTTAATAGTCCAGATCGAGACAGATTTTTTTATAAATAATTCTATATTTAATTTTTTTTTTAATTTTTATTAATTGACTATTAATACATTAAGCCACGCTGAAGGACATTAATATTAGGACTAAATTAATCATTCACACAATATATTTATTAAATGTGTAATACATCGTGTAAATGAACTGTTCCAATGATAACCAAATTTGAACATTCAATTTTTTTCTCCATTAGTTATACTGAATTAATTATACATTATAATATAAGGTGTCCATGAAATTTTGTTTCGTTTTTTGAGTGAGTAAATTTCAAGAGTTTTTAAAAAAAATAAAATTTCAATTAATTTATGATTGATAAATGGCTTAAAAATGATTTCATAAATATAAATATTTCTAATCCGTTAAAAGTAATTAATAATAATGTTAATAATGAATTTTTCCTAGAGACAGATTGTAATATTTTTCAATAAATAAGTTAAAAAAAAAGAATAATGAATTAATCAAAGCAGGAGAATCGCGAGGATGGAACCAACTACAAAAAATTTCTTAGGAACTTTAAAAAATGAATAAAATACTAAAATATAATTTTGTCTTCAGGGATTCATTTAATTATGAATCGCATCATGGAAATATAATAATTAAATTCCTTATTTTTTGAACTCTTAGGATCAAGTATAAGTTGAAGAATGACTTATAAAGATAAATCCAGTTCTTTATCAGTGAGACCTCTCTTACTTTTTTTATTTGTTAAGTAAATGTGAACCAGACATGCAGGTTTAGATTTTTATTAGACACGGATTCAGCTATACTCTAAACCGATTTATTTTAACTCTCCCATTTCTCATTTTTTATGTAAATTTTCAAGAAAACTATTGTTTTGTATGCCATCATTTATTTAATGTCAATATGTACCTCATTAACAAGGGCAGTGGTACGCTATAACCTCCTCCATAACTAGAACAGGTAATAGAAAAAAATATCAGATGTTTTTATATTAAATGACATTTTATTACTAAAATGGTATAAACCTGTAATTTATGTCCTAAAATTATACGTATTATGACTTTTCCACATAATAGCGAAACATCGACAAACCAAATGCCGCATAGTTATCCGGCCAAAATATTAATGCCATTTATTTTATTTTCATATTGTATACTTTTAAAATTATCAGAAATGATCGTTTTTATTTATATTATATTATTATATTTATATTATTGTAATAAGGTTTTGTCCCGATAAACATTTAATACATTTTTCAATTTTCGTCTCTCTTTTTACGTTACTATCTTTGGTATAATCCTATAAAACTTGTTAGTAATCTTAATTAAGCGTCGTGCTTTGGTTAAACAAAAAAACTTTAAAAATGTAGAATTAGTACCTTTAACTGAATTAGTTAACAGTAAAACAAAAAATGAAATGCTGATTACCTTTCGAAAGCACATTTTAAAATAAGTTATATATTTTAAATAATGAATGGACTTTATAAATCAGCCATGTGTAGTTTAGAATAAAAAGAAACATTTATATCAACGACGCGTTCCTCAACTCCTGATGTTTGAAATGGATTCATTCGGTTCTACCAACGTTTTTAATGGTCTCTTAAGAGCATAAAATTTCTTAAAATCTTCCAAGGTAGCATTAAAAAAAGTATAAGATTAAATAAACTCTCTATTATTATTGT